CATTTCCCCCCATTCTATCTCTTTTTTTCCATTTTTTTCTCATTCTTTCCTGGTTTTTCCCTGTTTTCCCCCCATTTTTCTCCCATTTCCCCCATTTTATCTCTTTTTTCTCCCTTTTTTCCTCTTTTTCTCCCCTTTTTCCCCCCATTTCCCCCTGTTTTATCTCTTTTTTTTCTCATTTTTCCCCCATTTCCCCCATTTTTTCTCTTTTTTTCTCTCATTTTTGCCCATTTTCTCCCATTCTATCTCTTTTTTTCTGGTTTTTTCCCATTTTTTCCTGGTTTTTCCCTGTTTTTCCCCCATTTTTCTCCCATTTCCCCCATTTCTTCTCTTTTTTCTCTCATTTTCCCCCATTTCCCCCCATTTTTTCCCCGTTTCCCCCTGTTTTATTTCTTTTTTCTCTCATTTTTTCCCTATTTTTCCCCGTTTTTCCCCAGCCACCTCGGAGTGGCTGCGCTTCTTCGAGGACGCCGGGATCCCGCCGGGCCCCGCCCTGGGCTACGCCGTGGCCTTCGTGGACAACAGGTGGGGAGGGACCCCCGAATTGGGGGAGAGACCCCCGGGAATGGGGGGAGAGACCCCCAGAGAGACCCCCGGGAATGGGGGAAGAGACCCCCAGATTGGGGGGGAGAGACCCCCAGAGAGACCCCCGGGAATGGGGGGAGAGACCCCCGGAGAGACCCCCGGGAATGGGGGGAGAGACCCCCGGAGAGACCCCCGGGAATGGGGGGAGAGACCCCTGGAGAGACCCCTGGGAATGGGGGGAGAGACCCCCGGGAATGGGGGGGAGAGACACTCGGAGAGACCCCCGGGAATGGGGGGGAGAGACCCCTGGATTGGGGGGGAGAGACCCCTGGAGAGACCCCCAGGAATGGGGGGAGAGACCCCCAGGAATGGGGGAGAGACCCCCGGGAATGGGGGGGAGAGACCCCCGGGAATGGGAGGAGAGACCCCCAAAAATGGGGGGGAGAGACCCCCAGATTGGGGAGAGAGACCCCCAGGAATGGGGGGTGGATCCCTGGGTGGATCCGAGTGGATCCCATGGAAATCTGGGTGGATTCCTGTGGAATCTGGGTGGATCCCAGGCAGATCTGAGGGGTTCCGGGTGGATCCCTGGGTGGATCCCACGGGAAATTGGGTGGGTTTCCATGGAATCCAACTGGATCCCAGGTGGATCTGAGGTAATCTGGGTGGATCCCATGGAAATTTGGGTGGATTTCCGTGGAATCTGGGTGGATCCCAGGCAGAACTGAGGTAATCCAGGTGGACCCCGGGTGGATCCAAGTAGATCCCACAGAGATCTTGGGGGGTTTTGGTGGGATCTGGGTGGATCCAAGGCAGATCCAGGCAGATCTGAGGGAATCCAGGTGGATCCCTGTGAGATCCACGTGGATCGCAGTCAGAACTGAAGTTATCTAGGTGGATTCCAGTCAGAACTGAGTGGATCCGGGTGGATCCCTTTGAGGATCCTGGCGGATCCCAGTCAGAACTGACGTGATCTGGGTGGATCCCAGGCAGAACTGAGGGGATCCAGGTGGATCTGGGCAGATCCCAGGCAGATCCAGGCAGATCTGAAGGGATCTGGGCGGATCCCTGTGATGATCCGGGCAGATCCCAGTCAGAACCGAGTGGATCCGGGTGGATCCCTTTGAGGGTCCTGGCAGATCCCAGTCAGAAGTGACATGACCTGGGTGGATCCTTGTGAGGATCTGGGTGGATCCCAGTCAGAACTGAGGGGATCTGGGTGGATCCCAGTCAGAACTGAGGGGATCTGGGTGGATCCCAGTCAGAACTGAGGGGATCTGGGTGGACCCCTGTGAGTATCTGGGCAGATCCCAGTAAGAACCGAGGGGATCCAGGCGGATCCCAGCGGATCCCTTTGAGGATCCTGGCAGATCCCAGTCAGAACTGAGGGGTTCTGGGTGGATCCCAGTAAGAACTGAGGGGATCTGGGCGGATCCCTTTGAGGATCCTGGCAGATCCCCGTCAGAACTGACGTGATCTGGGTGGATCCCAGTAAGAACTGAGGGGATCTGGGTGGATCCCAGTAAGAACTGAAGGGATTTGGGTGGATCCCTGTGAGTATCTGGGCAGATCCCCGTCAGAACCGAGGGGATCCAGGTGGATCCCGGCGGATCCCTTTGAGGATCTGGGCAGATCCCAGTCAGAGCTGAAGTTATCTGGGTGGACCCCAGTAAGAACTATGGGGATCTGGGTGGATCCCAGTAATAACTATGGGGATCTGGGTGGATCCCTGTGAGGATCCGGGCGGGTCCCAGTCAGAACTGAGGGGATCCGTGTGGATCCCGGGCAGATCCCTTTGAGGATCCTGGCAGATCCCAGTCAGAAGTGACGTGATCTGGGTGGATCCCAGTCAGAACTGAGGGGATCTGGGTGGATCCCAGTAAGAACTGAAGGGATCTGGGTGGATCCCTGTGAGTATCTGGGCAGATCCCCGTCAGAACTGAGGGGATCCAGGCGGATCCCAGCGGATCCCTCTGAGGATCCTGGCAGATCCCAGTCAGAACTGAAGAGATCTGGGTGGATCCCAGTAAGAACTATGGGGATCTGGGTGGATCCCTGTGAGGATCCAGGCAGATCCCCGTCAGAACCGAGCGGATCCGGGTGGATCCGGGCGGATCCCTTTGAGGATCCCGGCAGATCCCGGCCTTTTCCCCGCAGGATCCACAAGAACATGCTGCTGGACCTGACCAAGGAGCTGATGAAGGAGCTGGGCATCACCGTGGTGGGCGACGTCATCGCCATCCTGCGCCACGCCAAGGTGGTCCACAGGCAGGTAGGGGATCCCCCGGGATCCGCCGGGATCCACCGGGATCCGGGAACCCCCCCAAACCTCCGTGTTTCCCGCAGGAAATGTGCCGGGCGGCCTCGGAGTCGCTGCAGCCCGAGGCTGCGGGGGGATCCCGGCGGGATCGTGATCGGGATCAGCGGGATCACAGCCGGGATCACGGCCGGGATCCCTGCGGGGCCGCCGGGAGGATGATCACCAACAGCCTGAGCCGGGATCCCGCCCCCCGTGCCCCCCGCAACCCCCCCGGCGCCGGGATCTCCGTCACCGTCCCCAACGGCGCCGGTAAGGACGGGCTGGGGGATCCCTCAGGGATCCGCTGTGGGGCTGGGGAGCCCGGGGGGAGATCAAGTGATCCAGAGGGAGCTGGGATCCACTCAGAGTGATTGGGGAGGAGCTGGGGTTAATCCAAGGGGATCAGGGTGGGGCTGGGATCGATCCAGAGGGATCAGGGAGGGCACGATCCCTCAGGGATCCGCTGTGGGGCTGTGGTCTCCAACGGGGCTTTGCCCACCCAGAATGTCCCCCCCAATGGGGTTCAGGGGAGTGGTGGATCCCTCAGGGATCCACTGTGGGGCTGGGGTCCCCAGCAGGGCTTTTCCCACCCGGAATGTCCCCCCCAATGGGAGGGGGCTGGGGGATCCCTCAGGGATCTGCTGTGGGGCTGGGGAGCCCGGGGGAGGGCAGGGGGGCGGAGATCAAGTGATCCAGAGGGAGCTGGGATCCACTCAGAGTGATCGGGGAGGAGCTGGGGTTAATCCAAGGGGATCAGGGTGGGGCTGGGATCGATCCAGAGGGATCAGGGAGGGCACAGGGATCCGCTGTGGGGCTGGGGTCTCCAACGGGGCTTTGCCCACCCGGAATGTCCCCCCTGGTGGGATCGAGGGGAGTGGGGGATCCCTCAGGGATCCGCTGTGGGGCTGGGGTCTCCAACGGGGCTTTGCCCACCCGGAATGTCCCCCCTGGTGGGATCGAGGGGAGTGGGGGATCCCTCAGGGATCCGCTGTGGGGCTGTGGTCTCCAACGGGGCTTTGCCCACCCAGAATGTCCCCCCCAATGGGGTTCAGGGGAGTGGTGGATCCCTCAGGGATCCACTGTGGGGCTGGGGTCCCCAGCAGGGCTTTTCCCACCCGGAATGTCCCCCCCAATGGGAGGGGGCTGGGGGATCCCTCAGGGATCTGCTGTGGGGCTGGGGAGCCCGGGGGAGGGCAGGGGGGCGGAGATCAAGTGATCCAGAGGGAGCTGGGATCCACTCTGACCGGGATCCGCCGGGATCCGCTGGGATCTGCCGGGACTGACGGCGGGACGGGGATCCCGGGGATCTGGTGGGACTGACAGCGGGAATGGGAATCCTGCTGGATCCACTGGGATCCCTCTGGAATCAGCGGGGATCTGCTGGGACTGACAGCAGGAATGGGAATCCTCGTGCGTCTGCTGGGATCTGCTGGGACTGATGGCGGGACGGGGATCCCGGGGATCTGGTGGGAGTGGGGATCCCGCTTGATCCCCTGGGATCCCTCCGGAATAAACAGGGATCTGATGGGACTGACAGCAGTAATGGGGATCCACTGGATCCGCTGGGATCTGCTGGGACTGATGGCGGGACGGGGATCCCGGGGATCTGGTGGGAGTGGGGATCCCGCTTGATCCCCTGGGATCCCTCCGGAATAAACAGGGATCTGATGGGACTGACAGCAGGAATGGGAATCCGGCTGGATCTGGTGGGATCTGATGGGACTGACGGCGGGAATGGGAATCCAGCTGGATCCGCTGGGATCTGATGGGACTGACAGAACGGGGATCCCTGGGATCCACTGGGAGTGGGATCCCATTGGACCCATCGGGATCCCTCTGGAATCAGCGGGAATCTGCTGGGACTGACAGCAGTAATGGGAATCCAGCTGGATCCACTGGGATCTGCTGCGACTAGCAGTGGGGATGGGGATCCCGGGGATCCACTGGGAGCGGGGATCCCGCTGGATCTGCTGGGATCCCTCTGGAATCAGCAGGAATCTGCTGGGACTGGCAGCAGTGGATCCCTGGGACCCTGGGAATGGGAATCTTGTTGGGATCAACACCAGGAGATCCCAAGAATGGGAATCCTGCTGGGATGGGGATCCCAGAGATCACAGGAATCCTGCCAGGATCGATGGCAGGGGATTCTGGGAGCGGGGATCCCACTGGGTCCACTGGGATCCCCCCGGAATCAGCGGGAGGCGGCGCCGCCGCCCAAGCGGCGCCGGGTGACGGCCGAGGCCGAGGGCAAGTACGTGATCTCGCTGCCCAAGGGCACCACGGCCCGCAGCCGCCGGATCCTGCGCCTGCCGGCGGCACCAGGTACGCCCCGGGGGATCCCGGTGGATCCCGGTGGATCCCGGTGGATCCCGGCTTCTGCACTCCCAGATTTCCCCCGCTGGATCCCGAGTTTTCCCTGATGGATCCCAGCGTTCTTCCCTGGTGGAGCCTCAGTTTCCCCTCCTGGATCCCCAATTTCCCTTCCTGGATCCCAAATTCCCAGATCCCAGATTTTTCCTTCCTGGATCCCAAAATTCCCTTCCTAGATCCCAAATTTCCCCTCCTGGATCCCAAATTCCTAGATCCCGGATTTTCCCTCCTGGACCCCAAAATTCCCTTCCTAGATCCCAGATTTCCCCTCCTGGATCCCCAATTTCCCTTCCTGGATCCCAAATTCCCAGATCCCAGATTTCCCTTTCTGGATCCCAAATTTTTTCTCCCAGATCCCAAGTTTTCCTTGCTCCATCCCTGATTTCTTCTGGATCCCAAAATTCCCTTCCTGGATCCCAAATTCCCCTCCCACATCCCAAATTTCTCCTCCCACATCCCAAATTTCTTTACCCAGATCCCAGATTTTTCTTCCTGGATCCCCAATTTCTCCTGGATCCCAAAATTCCCTTCCTGGGAAAGGGGGAGGATCCTAAATCTCCCCATTTTCCCCCCAAATTCTCCCCATTTGTCCCCAAAATCCCCCATTTTTCCCCCAAAATCCCCCGTTTTTCCCCAAAATCCCCCATGTTTTCCCCAAAATCCCCCATTTTTTCCCCAAAATTCCCCATATTACACCAAAATCCCCCATTTTCCCCCAAAATCCCCCCTTTTCCCCCAAAATCCCCCATGTTTTCCCCAAAATCCCCCATTTTTTCCCCAAAATTCCCCATATTACACCAAAATCCCCCATTCATTTTCCCCCAAAACCCCCCCTTTTCCCCCAAAATCCCCCATTTTCCCCAAAATCCCCCATTTTCCCCCCAAACCCACAGGTCTGGGCCGGCCGTCGGTGTTCGAGCGCCTCGGGGCCGAGGCCAAAGCGGCCGCAGCCGCCGGGGGGAAGGTGAGGGGGGATCCGGGGGGATCCCGAGGGATCCAGGGTGGGGGTCCGAGGCCGAGGGCAAGTACGTGATCTCGCTGCCCAAGGGCACCACGGCCCGCAGCCGCCGGATCCTGCGCCTGCCGGCGGCACCAGGTACGCCCGGGGGGATCCCGGGGGATCCCGGTGGATCCCGGTGGATCCCGGATTCTGCACTCCCAGGTTTCCCCTGCTGGATCCCGAGTTTTCCCCGATGGATCCCAGAGTTCCCTGGTGGAGCCTCAGTTTCCCCTCCTGGATCCCCATTTTCCCTTCCCGGATCTCAAATTCCCAGATCCCAGATTTTTCCCTCCTGGATCCCAAAATTCCCTTCCTAGATCCCAGATTCCCCCTCCTGGATCCCAAATTTCCCCTCCTGGATCCCAAATTCCCAGATCCCAGATTTTTCCCTCCTGGTTCCTGGACCCCAAAATTCCCTTCCTGGACCCCAAAATTGCCTTCCTGGATCCCAGATTCCCCCTCCTGGATCCCCAATTTCCCTTCCTGGATCCCAAATTCCCAGATCCCAGATTTCCCCTCCTGGATCCCAAAATTCCCTTCCTGGACCCCAAAATTCCCTTCCTGGATCCCAGATTCCCCCTTCTGGATCCCCAATTTCCCTTCCTGGATCCCAAATTCCCAGATCCCAGATTTCCCCTCCTGGATCCCAAAATTCTGTTCCTGGACCCCAAAATTCCCTTCCTAGATCCCGGATTCCCCCTCCTGGATCCCAAATTTCCCCTCCTGGATCCCAAATTCCCAGATCCCAGATTTCCCCTCCTGGATCCCAAAATTCTGTTCCTGGACCCCAAAATTCCCTTCCTAGATCCCGGATTCCCCCTCCTGGATCCCAAATTTCCCCTCCTGGATCCCAAATTCCCAGATCCCAGATTTCCCCTCCTGGATCCCAAAATTGCCTTTCTAGATCCCAGATTCCCCCTCCTGGATCCCCATTTTTCCTTCCCGGATCCCAAATTCCCAGATCCCAGATATTCCGTCCTGGATCCCCAATTTCCCTTCCTGGATCCCAAATTCCCAGATCCCAGATTTCCTTTCCTGGATCCCAAAATTCCCTTCCTGGACCCCAAAATTCCCTTCCTAGATCCCAGATTCCTCCTCCTGGATCCCAAATTTCCCTTCCTGGATCCCAAATTCCCAGATCCCAGATTTCCCTTCCTGAACCCCAAAATTCCCTTCCTGGACCCCAAAATTCCCTTCCTAGATCCCAGGTTCCCCCTCCTGGATCCCCAATTTCCCTTCCTGGATCCCAAATTCCCAGATCCCAGATTTCCCTTCCTGAACCCCAAAATTCCCTTCCTGGACCCCAAAATTCCCTTCCTAGATCCCAGGTTCCCCCTCCTGGATCCCCAATTTCCCTTCCTGGATCCCAAATTCCCAGATCCCAGATTTCCCTTCTTGGATCCCAAAATTCCCTTCTTGGATCCCAAATTTCTCCTCCCAGATCCCAGGTTTTCCTTCCTGGATCCTCAATTTCTTCTGGATCCCAAAATTCCCTTCCCGGATCCTCACTTTCTCCTCTCAGATCCCAAATTTCTCTTCCCAGATCCCAAATTTTCTTTCCTGGATCCCCAATTTCTCCTGGACCCCAAATTTCTCCTCCCAGATCCCAAATTTCTCCTCCTGGATCCCAAAATTCCCCTCCCAGATCCCAAATTTCTCTTCTCAGATCCCAAATTTCTCCTCCCACATCCCAAATTTCTTTACCCAGATCCCAGATTTTTCTTCCTGGATCCCCAATTTCTCCTGGATCCCAAAATTCCCTTCCTGGGAAAGGGGGAGGATCCTAAATCTCCCCATTTTCCCCCCAAATTCTCCCCATTTTCCCCCCAAATTCTCCCCATTTAAGGATCCAGGATCCAGGGGAGGTGGAATCCATGGGCAGAAGGATCCAGGATCCCGAGGGGCGGGCGGGATCCGGTCAGGAATGGCAATCCAGGATCCCCCTCCCCTCCGCAGCCCTCGGGGGTCTTCAGCCGCCTGGGCGCCGCCCCGGACGGCCCCGACCCCGCCGACCCCGCCCATCCCGCCGGCGATCCGGCGGATCCCGAGGCGCTGCCGTACGCCGGCGTGCTGAAGAAGCGCCGGGAATGTTCCGGAACGTCGGCGTCGGCGGCGCAGGACGGGGCCGTGTCCAGCTCGGGGGGCGCCTGGGGCTGCGGCCACGTCAGCTCCAGCAGCGGCTCCGGCGGCGGCGCCCGCAGCGTCTTCCGCAGGCTGGGCCGCAAACCCGATTGACCGGGATCCGCCGGGATCCGCCGGGATCCGCCGGGACTGACGGGGGGACGGGGATCCCGGGGATCCGCTGGGAGCGCCCCGGAATCGGCGGGGATCTGCTATGACTGACGGCAGGAATGGGAATCCTGCTGGATCCACTGGGATCTGCTGGGACTGATGGCAAGAACAGGGATCCCGGGGATCTGGTGGGAGTGGGGATCCTGCTGGATCCGCTAGGATCCCCCCAGAATCAGCAGGAATCTGCGGGGACTGACAGCAGGAATGGGAATCCTGCTGGATCTGATGGGATCTGATGGGATCTGCTGGGACTGACAGCGGGAATGGGAATTCGGCTGGATCCGCTGGGATCTGATGGGACTGACAATGGGGATGGGGATCCTGGGGATCCACTGGGAGTGGGGATCCTGCTGGACCCGCTGGGATCCCTCTGGAATTGGCAGGAATCTGCTGGGACTGACAGAATGGGGATCCTGCTGGGATCAATGCCAGGGGATCCTGGGAGCAGGGATCCCACTGGCTCTGCTGGGATCCCCCCAGAATCAGTGGGAATCTGCTGGGACTGACAGAATGGGGATCCTGCTGGGATCAATGCCAGGGGATCCTGGGAGCAGGGATCCCACTGGCTCTGCTGGGATCCCCCCAGAATCAGTGGGAATCTGCTGGGACTGGCAGCAGTGGATCCCTAGGATCCCGGGAATGGGAATCTTGCTGGGATAGGGATCCCAGAGATCCCAGGAATCCTGCTGGGATCGATGCCGGGGGATTCTGGGAGCGGGGATCCCACTGGATCCACTCGGATCCCCCTGGAATCAGCGGGAAAATGCTGGGACTGGCAGCAGTGGATCCCTAGGATCCCGGGAATGGGAATCTTGCTGGGATAGGGATCCCAGAGATCCCAGGAATCCTGCTGGGATCGATGCCGGGGGATTCTGGGAGCGGGGATCCCACTGGATCCACTCGGATCCCCCTGGAATCAGCGGGAAAATGCTGGGACTGGCAGCAGTGGATCCCTAGGATCCCGGGAATGGGAATCTTGCTGGGATAGGGATCCCAGAGATCCCAGGAATCCTGCTGGGATCGATGCCGGGGGATTCTGGGAGCGGGGATCCCACTGGATCCACTGGGATCCCCCTGGAATCAGCGGGAATATGCTGGGACTGGCAGCAGTGGATCCCTGGGATCCCAGGAACGGGAATCTTGTTGGGATCAACACCAGGAATGGGAATCCTGCTGGGATGGGGATCCCAGGGATCCTGCTGGGATCGATGCCAGGGGATCCTGGGAGTGGAAATGCCGCTGGATCCACTGAGATCCCCCCGGAACCGGCTGGGATCTGCTGGGACTGGCAGCAGTGGATCCCTGGGATCCCGGGAATGGGAATCCTGCTGGGATGGGGATCCCAGAGATCCCAGGAATCCTGCTGGGATCAATGCCAGGGGATCCTGGGAGCGGGGATCCCGCTGGATCCACTGGGATCCCCCAGAACCGGCTGGGATCTGCTGGGACTGGCAGCAGTGGATCCCTGGGATCCCGGGAATGGGAATCCTGCTGGGATAGGGATCCCAGAGATCACAGGAATCCTGCTGGGATCGATGCCAGGGGATCCTGGGAGCGGGGATCCCGCTGGATCCACTGGGATCCCCCAGAACCGGCTGGGATCTGCTGGGACTGGCAGCAGTGGATCCCTGGGATCCCGGGAATGGGAATCCTGCTGGGATAGGGATCCCAGAGATCACAGGAATCCTGCTGGGATCGATGCCAGGGGATTCTGGGAGCGGGGATCCCACTGGATCCACTGGGATCCCCCTGGAATCAGCGGGAATATGCTGGGACTGACAGCAGTGGATCCCTGGGATCCCAGGAATGGGAATCTTGTTGGGATCAACACCAGGAATGGGAATCCTGCTGGGATCGATGCCAGAGGATCCTGGGAGTGGAAATGCCGCTGGATCCACTGAGATCCCCCCGGAACCGGCTGGGATCTGCTGGGAATGGCAGCAGTGGATCCCTGGGATCCTGGGAACGGGAATCTTGTTGGGATCAACACCAGGAGATCCCAAGAATGGGAATCCTGCTGGGATGGGGATCCCAGAGATCACAGGAATCCTGCCAGGATCGATGGCAGGGGATTCTGGGAGCGGGGATCCCACTGGGTCCACTGGGATCCCCCCGGAATCAGCGGGGAATCTGCTGGGACTGGCAGCAGTGGATCCCTGGGATCCCAGGAACGGGAATCCTGCTGGGATCAACACCAGGGGATCCCAAGAGTGGGAATCCTGCTGGGATGGGGATCCCAAGGATCCTGCTGGGATCGATGCCAGGGGATCCTGGGAGCGGGGATCCCGCTGGATCCACTGGGATCCCCCGGAACCGGCTGGGATCTGCTGGGACTGGCAGCAGTGGATCCCTGGGATCCCGGGAATGGGAATCCTGCTGGGATAGGGATCCCAGAGATCACAGGAATCCTGCTGGGATCGATGCCAGGGGATTCTGGGAGCGGGGATCCCACTGGATCCACTGGGATCCCCCTGGAATCAGCGGGAATATGCTGGGACTGACAGCAGTGGATCCCTGGGATCCCAGGAATGGGAATCTTGTTGGGATCAACACCAGGAATGGGAATCCTGCTGGGATCGATGCCAGAGGATCCTGGGAGTGGAAATGCCGCTGGATCCACTGAGATCCCCCCGGAACCGGCTGGGATCTGCTGGGACTGGCAGCAGTGGATCCCTGGGATCCCAGGAACGGGAATCTTGTTGGGATCAACACCAGGGGATCCCAAGAGTGGGAATCCTGCTGGGATGGGGATCCCTGGGATCCTGCCGGGATCGATGCCAGAGGATCCCGGGAGCGGGGAATGCCGCTGGATCCACTGAGATCCCCTCGGAACCGGCTGGGATCTGCTGGGACTGGCAGCAGTGGATCCCTGGGATCCCGGGAATGGGAATCCTGCTGGGATGGGGATCCCAGAGATCCCAGGAATCCTGCTGGGATCAATGCCAGGGGATCCACTGGGAGTGAGGATCCCGCTGGATCCGCTGGGACCCCCCTGGGATCTGCTGGGACTGGCAGCAGTGGATCCCTGGGATCCCGGGAATGGGAATCCTGCTGGGATGGGGATCCCAGGAATCCTGCCGGGATCGATGCCAGGGGATCCACTGGGAGTGAGGATCCCGCTGGATCCACTGGGATCCCCCTGGGATCTGCTGGGATCTGCACCAGGGATCCCAGGAATGCTGGAGCCGGGGTCGTGCTGGGATCGATCCTGGGGGATCCCTCGGGAATCGAGGGCAGATCCCGGGCGGAACTGGATCCGCTGGGATCCGCTGGGATCTGCACCAGGGATCCCAGGAATGCTGGAGCCGGGGTCGTGCTGGGATCGATCCTGGGGGATCCCTCGGGAATCGAGGGCAGATCCCGGGCGGATCCCGTGGGAACCGAGAGTGGATCCCCCGACAAAGGGGATCCCACAAGCCCAGATCCCCTGGGAAAGGGAGGATCCCGCCAGGAATCCAGAGTGGATCCCCTGGAAAAGGGCGGATCCCCCCCAAAAATCCCGTCCCGATCCCTTGGCAAAGGGCGGATCCCGTGGGTGGATCCCGGCGCAGATCCCGAGGCCAAACCAGCACCAAAATCTCCTTTTTTCCCCCCAATTTTCCCTTCCCCCGAGCGTTTTTTGGGGTTTTGGGGTTCCAGGCACAAAACCCCACCCAGAGTTGGATTTTTAATCCCATTTTCCCAAATTTTTAATCCCATTTTCTGGATTTTAATGGATTTTTAATCCATTTTCCTGGATTTTAATCCAGTTTTCCTGGACTTTAATCCCATTTTCCCAGATTTTTAATCCCATTTTCCTGGATTTTAATCCCATTTCCCAAATTTTTAATCCCATTTTCCGGCATTTTAATCCCATTTTCTTGGACTTTAATCCCATTTTCTGGATTTTAAATCCCATTTCCCAAATTTTTAATCTCATTTTCCCAGATTTTTAATCCCATTTTCTTGGGTTTTCACCCCCCCAAAAATTTTTATTCCAAAAAAATTTTACTCCAAAAATTATTTCTGGAGGGATTTTGGGAGAAACTTCCCCCCAAAAAAACCCCCAAACCCAGGTGCTCAAAACACCCCAAAATTGCCTTAATTTGTGGATTTTTCCTCCAGAACCCCCAAAATTCCTCATTTCCCACAAATTCCTTCCTCTCTCTCACCACAAACCCCAAAAAGCTGCTTTTTTCCCCCAAAATGAGTTCGGGGCAGGAGGTTTTTAATCGGGAAAAAAAAGGAAAATTGGGATTTTTTTCCGTTTACTTCGGGTTTTTTCCCCAAATTTTGTTCTGGATTTTAATGGATTTTTAATCCATTTTCCTGGATTTTAATCCAATTTTCCAGGACTTTAATCCCATTTTCCCAGATTTTTAATCCCATTTTCCCAGATTTTAATCCCATTTTCTGGATTTTAATCCCATTTCCCAGATTTTAATCCCATTTTCCTGGATTTTAATCCCATTTCCCAAATTTTTAATCCCATTTTCCCGCATTTTAATCCCATTTTCTTGGACTTTAATCCCATTTTCTGGATTTTAAATCCCATTTCCCAAATTTTTAATCTCATTTTCCCAGATTTTTAATCCCATTTTCTTGGGTTTTCACCCCCCCAAAAATTTTTATTCCAAAAAAATTTTACTCCAAAAATTATTTCTGGGAGGGATTTTGGGAGAAACTTCCCCCCCCCAAAAAACCCCAAACCCAGGTGCTCAAAACACCCCAAAATTGCCTTAATTTGTGGATTTTTCCTCCAGAACCCCCAAAATTTCTCATTTCCCACAAATTCCTTCCTCTCTCTCACCACAAACCCCAAAAAGCTGCTTTTTTCCCCCCATTTTCCCAAATTTTGAATCCCATTTTCTGGATTTTAATCCCATTTCCCGGATTTTAATCCCATTTCCCAAATTTTTAGTCTCATTTTCCCAGATTTTGAATCCCATTTTCTCGGGTTTTCA